GCGCGCTTGCTGGCGCTTCATTGAGACAGGGTGACTCGGGCGGGCGCGATATCATGGCAACGATGGTGGTGTCGATGGTGGCACTGACGGAGGCAGAGACAATGACGGCGCCGATGCTGATTGAGCCGATGCCAATGATGTCGTCCACGCGTCGGTGATGAAAAATTTGAAAAAAGATTTCGGCATGCGCACGCGGCCGACGCGCACGCGTGGCCAGCATGGTGTTACTTCATAGGGATCGTCCACCACCCTCCCCCATCGCGCGCAAGGGCTCGGAAACATTCCGACATGCGCGCGCGAGAGGCCCGATTGTTCGCATGTGATGGAAATCTTGAGCACCGATGCTTTTCTGCAGAATTCGCACGAGCGCGCAAATATTTTGGAACTACCATGTTGAACGACCATGTGTATCCTTTTTGTGTTCGGGACACTAGATCTTGAAATCCTTAGGGCACGTGACGTGTTTGAAAGATTTCGGCACGCTCGCGACGACGCGCACGGGTGGACGTTGTTCTTTCTGTTGCAAAGGGTTCTTGGCAACCACTGGAAAAATGTGTAATAAACATGAGGGAGGGTCGATACCGGCTAGGCTGGGATGATCTGAACTCATACGTACGCTGAACGATGGGGCTGACTCACATGTACACTGCGCATCCAAAGGGCGAGCGGGTAACACCAGGACGGGGGATAGATCCTAATTCCTTTTTTTAGAAAAAGCAGCATGTATGGTGCAAACTATGTGGTGCAAGCTGCGTGGTGGAATACACCTGACAAAACCTGAAGTCGTCAACGACACTGCTCGCGCAATCACCCGTCCAATCCGTCCAGCCGAAACCTGTTTTGCTGCAGAACCCACGAGGCCGCGATTGCTGCTACTACATCTCAATTGCGATTGCTTGCTCTGGCCCATGAGGCCGCGATTTCGATTGCTGGCTCTGGCTGGCGCATCCCTACAGCTGTGCTGGCGCGCGCGAGCCCGCGCGCAGAGCGATCAGTTGTTTGGGCGCAGCCGACGCGGCCGCGAAAGCGTTCACCGATGGGAACTTCCCAGCGCCCGTCCAAACCCACGAGGGAGCGCGGGCATTTCAATGCGCGTCGGTGACTCGTGCGGGCGCTGCAACATGATGACGCACGAAGCGCCCACCATCTATGCACCAGCCGAAACCCCGCCATATTCATCCAGCTCATTACGTAAGACAAATACGAACCCCTAAGTGCAAGCACTTTCGGGGGAATCAGCTTCAGGACATTCGCGCGGATTTCTCGGGCCAGCACTGGCCAATTCTCCCTAGCCTGCGGAGCAAGCGCAGGGGGCGGCGCCAGAAGCGCCGCCGGGAATGCCCGAGCCAAGACATCCGCGAGGAGCTCCAAAACAATAGGATTGTGCAACCTCTTCCTCTGCGGAAGCAATTTCTCACAGGATCCAAGTACGCAGAGGAAGCTGGGAGAGGAGAGCGGCCAAACGCTAGGGAATTCCAACACCCAGCGCGCCCGCGCCTGCTGGGGACTTCCGGACACCCAGCCGGGCGCACGGCCGGCAGCGGGGAGAGGGGGGGGGGAACATGCGTAAACTGCCGTACTCATATACTCGGCGCCGTGGACTCCTCGCCTTGGGGATCTACTGACCAGGGTCAATGCAAACCTGGGCCAGTCGGGCTTTGAATCCCACAAGATCCCGCAGGGTCCTGCAGGGCCCTGCGCGCGCATGCGGGTCAATTCCACCCGGGCTTTGCAGGACTCTGCAAGATCCAGCGCTCCAGCTGGGGAGAGCAGAAGGTACCGATACCGCCACTCCACGGACCTCTCCCGAAGTGCGTTCTGATGAGGATTTCGAGGCGAATCCAGCGGTGGCGACGAGGGCCGCCGAGGAGGCCCGAGAAGGGGAAAACGAGCGGAGGGTAGAGGTATGGGTACCTGGTTCCAGTCTGCCTGGCTGACCCCCGTTTCCATCGCCCGCCACTGGAGCCCCGATCGCCGCCCAGCGCGCGCTCGCCGGGGACTTCCAGACACCCGGCGGGCCGCGCAGGGAGCCGCCGGGCTCGGTCCTCTTGCCGCCTCGCCCGCCGTGGGGGCGTCCGCCGCCGCGGCCCAGGCGGTGAGGGCGGCCCGCCGGCGGCGGCGACGTCAGCCGCAAGGCTGCCGCGTCGCGGTCTCCCCCTCCTTCTCCTCCTCCTCCTCCTCCTCCTCCGCCTCCGCCTCCTCCGCCTCCTCCTCCTCCTCCTCCTCCTGCTCCTCCTCCTCCTCCTCCTGGTCCTCCCCCTCCGCCTCCGCCTCCTCCTCCTCCTCCTCCTCCTCCCAATCCTCATCCACCTCTGGCTGCTCCTCATGTTCCTCCTCTCCTCCGCATATGCCCACGCTGGCGGCCCGACAAGCAGCGCACAAAACAAAACCGCCGACAATACGACCACACTACAAAAACAAAAATCATATCGACATTGAATGGACGAACAACTGTATGCATCAAAACGGTTCCGACGTCGGGAACGACTGCCCCCCGGGCGGCTGAAAAAGGTTTACACCGACGTGGCCCCGTTGGGGTGTAAACCATGCAGCCGCCCGTGAGGCAGGCGTCCCCGACGGCGACACAATCTCGTGCATACGATCCTTCGCCCGCGAAGACATAGCCGGTCAAAGTGCAAGGAGGAGCGGAGAGAAAGGCAACCAAAGGCAGTACACAGCGCGCGACGTGTGCGCACGGAGCTCGCCGACAGCCCCGCTTGCTGAGGGTGACGAGGCGTGTGAGACAGTCTTACGGAGCCCAACAATATACACCACCACTCAAGATGAAACACAACTGCCCGAGATCAAACCACTTTTCCACTTGCACCAGAGAGCAACAAATGAGGTTTCACTGATGTGGGTGGGCCTAGCCCGGTTGAGCGCCACTTAGCGTCCTGGGGATTTACCTCAAGACACCCACTGAGCCACAAAGGCTACGGAACTACTGCTTGCAATGAGACCGTGCAATATACACCACCACCACCACCACCACCACCACCACCACCACCACCACCACCACCGTCACCACCGTCACCACCGTCACCACCACCGTCACCACCACCACCACCACCACCACCACCACCACCACCACCACCACCACCACCACCACCACCACCACCACCACCACCACCACCACCACCACCACCACCACCACCACCACCATCCACCACCACCACCACCACCACCACCACCACCACCACCACCACCACCACCACCACCACCACCACCACCACCACCAACCACCACCACCACCACCACCACCACCACCACCACCCCACCCCACCACCACCCACCCCCCACCCCACCCCCACCCCCACCCCCACCCCCACCCCCACCCCCCACACCCCACCCCCACCCCCACCCCCACCCCCCCCCACCCCACACCACCACCACCACCACCACCACCACACCACCACACCACCACCACCACACCACCACCACCACCACCACCACCACCACCACCACCACCGCCTCCCTCGCCCAGGAAAGAGAAGGGGGAGAGTACGGTGGACGAGGGAAGGGCATGGAACTTGTTGTGGTGTACAGTCTTAGGCCCGCACATCTCGCTGTGTCCCCTCCCCGTTCCCGCTTGCCCAGAGTCCTAAGTCCGATTAGGAGGGGGGGGGTCCCAGAAGGGAGGAGGCGGCTCAACGGACCCCCATGGGCCTCTGGAGCCTCCGAATCTACACTGCGTAGCCTCCAAGATGCCAAATGTTCCACCACAGCTTGCACAAGCTGGGCCCCAACACGCCGAGGAGGCCTCAAAAACAGCGCCAATATGGCCTCAGGACGGCCCAACACGCCTCCACGACGCCCCACAAGAGCTCCAAGATCACTGGCAGGAGGGCCCCAAAATGCCAACCTCTTCCCAATCCTACTGGGAAACTTGCATGTTTAGCGTGTAGGCATGTATGGTTTCAACCGCATCCAAAATGGCCCACGATGCCCCAAAGATCGCACAAAGACGGCCCAAGAGGTCCCGAAGAGGGGCCCGAGAGGCGCTGGCCCGCGAGGGCCCCAAGAAGGCCCCAGTAGGGGTGTAAGGGAGGAAGTCGAACTGACATGTGGAGCCCCTCCCCGAGACGATACCAGAGACCGCCGGCAGGCGCCAAAGATCGGCGACGAGCGAGGGTGGAAGCGAGGAGGAGAAGGCCTTCTCAGAAAGTTCGGAAGTCCCCCGGCCTTCTGAAAAGTGTTCAAAGCCTCCCTCGAAGGCAGAGAACACTTCTCAGAAGGCGCGAGGGCTGCACTGAGAAGTCCCGCCGCCTTCTGAGAAGGCCTTCTACTTCTCGCTTCCCCCCCTCGCTCGTCGCCGAAAAAAAAACACCGAGAGAGGCCCATGAGAGAGAGAAACCCCCGACGGCCCCCGAACGGCCCCCTTAAGAAGGCCGCAGGACTGCCTCCTATAGGAATCCCTCCGGGGCGTTCCAAGAGACCCCTGGCGCCAAAGCTAGGGCTCCCAGCTTCGCGCTTCGCGCTGCGCGAAGCGCGAAGTGCGAATAACTTCGCGCTCTCGCGCCGCCTCCCAAGGGAGAAGAGGAGGATGAGGAGGAATCGAAGCCGAACCGCGAAGCGCGAAGCGCGAATAACTTCGCGCCCTCGAGGGCGCCCTTGCTCCGGGGCGTTCCAAGAGACCCCTGGCGCCCAAGAACCCTCTGACCCACAAGCCGAGCACGGTGGCAGGCTGGGCCAAAGACGACCGAGCGAGGATCGGAAACGGGTCTTACGCGAGATGGCCCAGCGACCCTACGCGGTGGCTTGCGCGGGCCGCCCGCGCGGCGCGCTCACGCGCGACCTTACGCGTGCAGCGTGCACGCCAATGTGGGGGCAGACGACCCGGTGTTCTTGCGTCGCTCCGCTGGACTGCCAGAAACAAGTGCAAGCAGGCTCAAATCAGTGGAGCACCGTTGAATCCTTACCCACCTGGGGGTCGGCGGAGTAGCGTAGGCCTCTTGAATAATGAACTGAGGGCGCGACTGGCGCAGCACACCGCTGAAGGGTCACGCTTGGACGCCAGCACTTCGGAAGAGCTGGTTGACCTGGGAAGGTTCGCACTTCTTAGCGCCGCATGCTGCGTCCTGGAATTCCTTCATATCCAGCGCTTTCCTCACCAAGGTCGTGCCTTGGGGGCCTCCGATCTGCTTCAGCCTCTTCAGGATGCCAACCAGGAGGTCCCAAACCATCACAGAGCCATCCTTGTCTTTAAGCGGCAAAATCTTGAGCAATGTTGTGTTAAAATCCCTGCCGCATGTGTGAATAAACCTTGCGTACAAGGAGTGGACAAACTTCGGTGCCGTGGGGACGTCGATGGCTACGTCCTCCAGGGTATCCAGCATCGGGGCCAGTGCCTCTTTCAGGATCTCCCAGTGGACGATCTTCAGCTGCGCAACCAGCTGGACGACCGTTTCAGCAACAATGTCCTCCTTTTCGGCGTCATTGAAACCTATCTCGCACAACCACTCCATGCCCTGTTTTGCCTGCTCCTTGGTCGGCTGTGGCTTCATCCACTCATCCTGAAGGTCTTTGGGTTTCCTTTCCTCGGCATAGTACTGGAAACACCGCCTCACATGAACCTGGTCGAACTGTCCCCTCTGGTGCTCGTGGACCTGTCTACGCCCAGGCTGCGACCTGTCAGACTTGAGTTCCTCGATGTACGAGGGTCTCATCCCAGCAACCTGGGTGGCGAACATTGCCTCTGGTCCGGATTTCGCCGTCTTGTACGCCTCCTTGGCGGCGTCCTTCCTAACCTCGTCCTTTGTTTTCGCCTGTTCCTTGAACAGTTTCTGCTGCCAGTTGCGACCCCTGAGGTCGATCAGATCCTGGATCTGGAACTGTATTCTCTTCGAGAAGAGAGATCTGCCAGTCGTGGGATCCATCTCCTTCTTGAGGTCCATGAGGCGGTGCGAGAATTGGGTCACCAGCATCTTGCCATGTGGGGTGTTGTCCAGAGAGTACCCGATCGCCTTGAGCAGCTCGCAGACACACTCGATCATGTGCTCCTCTATGGGCGTCTCCTTGATCCCAATCAAGTCATGTACCACTTGACCAATCACTTTAACGGCAAGCAATTGGCGAAGAAAGAGGTTTCCGATAAACTTCATGTTTGCAAGCACCTTCGCCTTCTTCTTTCCTATCTCCAGGCGGAGGTCGTCTGCAGAATACGATTGTTTATCCTCTTCCGTGGGCTCAAACGTCGTGGGGAGGTTTTCGAACTCGTTCTGGACGGTGTTCAGCAGGATACGAGTGAATGAGTGGGCCTTCTCATCCTCATGCTCTGGTGGGAATTCTGGGTATCGGGAGCGAAGGGAAAAGACCATGTCTGCGTAGGTCTCGCAATAGTGTGGCTCGGCAAGGGCCTTGGAAAAGATGATGCGGATCACGTGCTCCAACTCCTCGGCCTTGTGCAGGTCCACGCCGGCCAGCTGATCGACGATGATCTTCAGATTGTCGGGGCAGATCTTGTTGAGCAGAGCCCTAACTCTTCTCTCGATGTCCTCCTCGCGCTTGACTGGCTCTGTTATTTTGTAGCCCTTGCCCGTGGTAATGCTCTTGACTGACATGCCTCCTGCGCCGCCACCCGAGCCGCCCTGGTCGGTCTTCTTTTTGCTGTACGACTTGAAATCTTGACCGACCAACGGGCGTCGATCTGCCTCTCTCTCAGGCCGGCCGTGCTTGTTGCGGGCGTCTCCAGCGGTCGGCGTCTTCTCCTCCGGACGCGAAGACACCTTCAGCGACGTCAACATCGGCGGATCGTCCCTCAGTGCTCTCCTGATCCGCAGCATCAGGACCTTCTCGAAGACCTTGTCGGGAGGGTTGAAGTCCAGCGCGGCGATGGCGCGACTGCTGCTCAACTTGTCTCCGCCCCCTGGCCCGTCGCCGTCCTTGGCGTCGTCGGTCCTTGGTGCCCCGCCCGGCCTCGCCATGGCTAGAAGAAGAAAAAATGCCGCAAACATGGACTTTTGGCGCTCCGCGCGGATTTCTTGGATCTGCCGTGGGGCCCCGGAGCGCGCCGGGGGCGGCGCCGGAGGCGCCGCCTGTGGGAGCCCGCTCCGAGAAATCCGCGCGGAGCGCCAAGAGTCTATGCTTCCGGGGTTGTTCCCTCTTCGAATGGCCGCGTTCTTCAGCTTGATCCCCTTCTTCCTCGCGCCGTCCGCCGCCGCCACGGGCAGGGCGGCCTGAGGCACCACGGGCGCCGGCATCTGCAGCTGGACGAGGGGCTGCTGCGGCATCTGCTGCAGGGCCACCTGCTGCATCTGCACGGGCTGCACGACGGGCTGCACGACGGGCCGCGGTACCTCGAGGGGCCCAAGGGCACACAACACAAATCCACACAAACAGAAGGATCCCCGCGATTTCCCCACATCTTCGGGGTCTTTGTCTTCCCGCCCAGTCCCGATATATCTTCCCCTATTTTCTTGGGGATCCACGATGCATGGCGTCTGTGTTTTTGTTGCCCCTCCCGAGGGCACCTGCGGCGCGAGCTGGGCCTCCGGCACCGCCGGCTTCGGCGGCGGCGCGGGCTGGCCGGCGGCCTGCACCTCCTGCTCTGGGGCCTGCGGAGGCCGCTGGGGCTGCGCGCTCGGGGGCGCAGCGGGCACGGAGGTCTGCGACTGCAGCCTGGCAGGGAGCACTTGGCTTGTTTTGGGTCGGGCCTGTCCCCCCTGCAGGAGGATTTTGGAAGGAAAATTAAAAACATTCAAAGCATAGTCAAAAAAGATGCCCAAAAATACTCAACAAAATAGTCCACAGACTATTTCTTTTTACTATTTTTGAATGTTCCCCCTGTAGAGGGACAGGCCCAACTTAGAACTGTTCTCCCGATCCTTTTCTCCCCATCTCCTGATGGGGTTATTTCTATTACTTAGACTGCGCGGAACACGGGAAGGAACAGGAGGGAAGGAAGGAGCACGCCTCCCAGCCTCAGGTCATTACTCTCTCCCTGACTCGCTCACATGTAGACTCACTCATGTTCAAACTCACTCATGATCAGATGCACTCGCTCTGAGATTACTGATGCTCAGATTTCTCACTAGGACTTCACTCATATACAGACTCACTCGCACTTCGAGTCGCTTCTCCCTTTCAAGCTTAATCGTACTAAGATCACTCACACTCACTCTCACACTCACGCTCACTCAGACTCATACTCAGACTCACTCACTCACACCCAGACTCACTCTCACCAAGACTCACTCCTACTCTGCCTCGCCCTTCCTTGCTCAGACACAGCCGCGCCACTTCCGCGCTCAGACTTAAACACACGTTGTGATGATGTCTCAGGCGAGGCGCTGGGTTCAGCACTCCAAGGGGGGGCGCAAGGGGGTATTGCACGGGCCCGTTCGCGCCCAGATTGGGGGGATGTCTCAGGCCGTTCGCTTGTTTGGGTGCTCAACATCCTGTTTTTTCGGAGCAATTTCCGAAGATGTCTCAGGCGAGCTGTTGGGTTCAGCACTCCCAAGGGGGGGCGCCAGGGGGTATTGCACGGGCCCGTTCGCGCCAAGATTGAGGGGATGTCTCAGGCGGTTTGCCTGTTTGGGTGCTCAACTTCCTTCTCTTTCGGAGCAGTTTCCGAGGATGTCTCAGGCGAGGCGCTGGTTTCAGCACTCCCAAGGGGGGGCGCCAGGGGGTATTGCACGGACCCGTTCGCGCCCAGATTGGGGGGATGTCTCAGGCGGTTTGCCTGTTTGGGTGCTCAACATCCTGCTCTTTCGGAACAGTTCCCGAGGATGTCTCAGGCGAGGCTCCGGTTACAGCACTCTCAAGGGGGGGCGCCAGGGGGTATTGCACGGGCCCATCCTTGTCTTCACGGATGGATCCTCCTGACAGGTGTTCATCGGGAAAGGGTCTCTCTCGGCCTCGTTTTCAATGCGGATTCGCTGACACTCGGATATTGAAAAAGGCCTATGACTTCTACCGACGTTTGCCATCCATGTGAGATGCGCATATGGGGATCTCCGCGTCGAGAAAGTATCTTCTCTCCAGGGACGCAATCCCTCTTCTGCCCCCCCTGCACCCTTTGTACTTGTTCCTTGCGCCTTTTTGCTCAACCGCGCTCAACCGCGCTAGGTCCGAAGAGGAGAAGAGGAGGAGAAGCGGAGGAGAAGAGGAGGAGAAAAGAAGGGAAATAAATACAGGAGGAGGAGGAGGAGGAGGAGGAGGAGGAGAGGAGAAGGACGGCCAGCAAGCCAAGAGCTTTGGGCGGCGGGTGGCTGACAGGCCCGAAGACCTCCTGCGGACACTTTTGCCCCGAGAGGGGTGCACCACAGTGGGGTCACCACCCCGTTTCTGGCCATCGCTCGGACGTCCATTCCCTGTATTCTTGCTCGGTTTCGTGCGTGGCTTCTCCGCAGGATGATCCGGGATGCTCCTTCATAACTCCCGCCGAGAAAAGGTGCACACGTCCGAGCGATACTCAGGTTTGGGGGCCCCCGAGCTTCTCTCGGGGGGTGGCCGGGGCCCTGGGGACGGGGAGGGGCGCCGACGAGGCCCCCCCGAGCTCCAGAGGGCGCCCTCGGCGGGCGCCGGAGAGGCGGCGGGGCGCCAGCGCCTCACAGTCCGCCCCGGTCAGCTCGTCGAGCTGCGTCCAGGCGGGCCGACGGGAACCTACCCCCGCTGTGGGCATCCTCCGAAGCGACGTCGTCGTCGTCGTCGTTCGTGGTTCGGTGCCCAGCGAAACTCCGTACTCGAGTGCACAGTCCGCATGGCCCGGGCCGCCCGTTGGGGTCCGCCCTTCCGGCCCGAGCCGCCCGTCAGGGTCCGCCCGCCTGGCCCGACCCGCCCGCCACAGCAATGGCTTTCAATGCTCGACGTGGCCTCATACTTGAATGTCCCGCCCGTCCGACCCGACCCGCCCGCAAGGAAAATTTCACAAGCCGGTGCGCCGATGATCTGGTGATCCGGGGATCTGGTGATCCGATGATCCAGAGATCTGGTAATCTGGTGCTCCAATGACCCTGTGATCTAGTGGTCCACTGATGCGGTGATCCGCTGCATATGCTGGTCCAGTGATTTGGTGACTGCTGTCGTCATGTCTTTGTGATGCAGGGCCTTCGGGTCGTGGTAAGGTATTCGGTTCGCGGGCTTCTGGGTCCCAGCGCCCCAAGAAGTCAGGGTCTCAGCCGTCAGGGTATCAAGGACTCGGGTCCTCGGCGTCTCGAGGTTTTCGGGTCTCAGGGGGTTGGCGTCCTGGGGTCTTCGGGCATTCGGTGACAGGGCACTGGGATCTTGGGCCTGTCGGGCCGCAGAATCTCAGGGTCTGCGGGTTTCAAGGTCGTTGGGTAGATGATGGTCCTGGGATCTGAGGGGCGGGAGCGAATCATGTTTTGTGGCAGAAGCGAAGATGGCCCAATAGGCCTCCAAGACGCAACAAAAGGCACCCAAAAGGCCTCCAAGAGGCCTCCCAAGAGCTCCCCAAGGGGAAAGATTTTGGCGTTCCGGCTGTTTCATTTCCGACGCTCCAACATGGCCCAGGAGGCCCCCAAGACCACCCCTAAACGGACCAAGAGGCGTCCAAGAGGGCTCCAAGACGGCCCAGTAGGCGCCCCAGACGGCCCAAGACGGCCCCAACGACGGCTCAAAGAGGGGGCCCTTATGGGTGACCCTAAAAATTCAAGCCCTCGGGAGCCCCCAGGAGGTTCCAAGAGGCCCCCAAGAGGCCCCAAGCAGCTCCCAAGAGGCAACGAAGAGGCCCCCAAGAGGCCCCCAACCTGCCCCCAAGATGCGCCCAAGAGGCGCCCAAGAGGCGCAACGAGGTCCACAAGATGCCCCTAAGAGGCCCTAAGAGGCCTTCAAGAGGCACCCAGGAGGCCCCAAAGAAACCTCAAAACTGCCAACAAGCCCCCGAGAGGTCTCCTGCGATATCCCAACGAACATCCCAAATAATTAGAACCCACAACCCAAACACGGCGGCGGGACTTGCCGCAGGCAGCTGGATTGAACAAGGGTTCGAAGGCACACGGGCCGAATCAAAGGAGGGAACAAAAACGGCAACGAACAAAAAAAAGCCGGGGGGGGAACCGCACCCCGGAGAGGGAGAAACAGAAAGTCCGGTGGCACTTCATGGGGGCCTCCCATACCATCTTGTCCGCTCTTGCGAATCGACGCTGACTGACGCTAAGTGGACGCTAATCGACGCTAGGTCGACGCTAAGTCGACGCTAATCGACGCTACATCGACGCAAATCGCTAATCGACGCTGCATCGGCGCTTTCTCATCGACTCCCAGACTCCCAACGCTGTAGACGGAATTCAGAGGGTACACCAGGCTCCCACGATCTGCTACCGAAGGCTAGGGGGAGCACCATAAAAGGGGTGGAGAGAAGCACGGACGATGCCCTAGCCTTGTGTTGCTCCAATCGTACTTACCACATCCCAGAAATGCTAGCACCCGGAAGAGTAGCGAAACAGTGTCGAGCGATCATCGCCTCCCAGGGCCCGACGCGTAAAAAACCCTTCGGTTCCGGTGCTTTCTCGGTGCTCGACATTCTAGCTGGTGCTCAAGGCTGAAGTAGGTTGGACCATCACTGAGGGGCAAAGATAGGGGGGAGGACTGGCACAGGGGGGGGATGCACCAACATGGAATCAGCGATACACCGCCGATAGCTCGGCGATAGGCCTCCGATAGTGCATCCGTACCTTCCTGGGCACGCTGGGGCCATCGGGCCCCTCTCGGCGATCCATGGGCGATTGGGGGGCGATGCGGCCCCCCCGCATGCCCATCCCCCCCCTATCGTCATGTTGCCCCCATCCTACTCAAGGACACGTCCCAGAAATAGTTTCGAGCACCCCGAAAACTGTCGAAAGAGTGTCGAAAGAGTGTCGAGACAGTGCCGGACGAGTGTCTCCCAGGGCCCGACGCGTGAAAACCTCGAGCTCTGGCACTCTTTTGGTGCTCGACATTCTTTCTGGTGGTCAAGGTGAAAGTGGTTTGGAGCATGAGCCATGGCCCCAGCCTGGTGGTGTTCGGGCGCGGGCGCATCGGCTCCAGGTTGAGGGCCTTGATGGACAGGGGGCCACATGCGAGCGCTGCCCCTACCCCCCACGATTTCTGAGGGGGCGGGTGGGGCTCCCTTCGCTCGGGAGCTCCCGCACGAAGGGAGCCCCACCCTCCCCCTCAGAAATCGTGGGGGGCGGGGGCAGCGCTCGCATTGTGGCCCCCTCATGGAGGACGCGAACATCGTCGCCGGCCCGCTGAAGGGCGGCAGCTTCGCCAGCGGCGCCAGGCCCTCGCCGCCGCCCCCCGCGGGCGCCGCCTGGCTCTGGCTCTGCGCCGCGGGCGCCGCCGCGCCCTCGGCCGGCTTCCTGCCGGCCTCTGCCTGGGCCGCCTCGCGGGGGAGGAACCCCAAAAAGGTACCCAGAGGCCGCTGCTCTTCTCGACGAGCGCGTGCCACTGCTCGCAGAGGAACTACTCGCAGGTGGCCTGGATCCCCCGCGGGGGATCTACGATACATGACACTGAAGCGGACAAGTGTTTGTCGGACGCTTGCGAGTAGGCCCTTCGCGAGTAGTGGAACGCGGTCGGCGATCTTCGGCCGAGCTCTGCTTTTTCGCTTGGCCTTCTGGGAGGCCCGCGCCGCCACCGCCGGATTCGCCCCGGAAGTCGGGTACGCACGCAGCCCGGGAGGGGTCCAGGGGATAGCGGTATCGGCACCTTGTGGTTTCCCCAGCCTCCGACTCCGGCGCCAGCGCGGGCGGCGCTGCAGGTGCCGCGGGTGTCGGCGCAGGGGCCGACGCCTTGGCGGACTCCTGCTTCAGCTCCGAGGACTGTGCCACAGCAGCGGCGCTGGCGTCCTCGCTGTCCGCAGGGGTGGCGCTGGGAGCGTCGGCGACGCTCTTTTTGATCGTCACATTTTTGATCCGGTTCTTTTTCAGGGTTGGCGCCGCCGCCGCCGGCGCTGGCGCTGCGGCGGGGGCCGCGCCCGCCTGCAGCTGGGCCTGCTGAGGCTGCTGCGGAGGCAGCTGCTGCTGAGGTGGTTGCTGCTGGTGCGATTGTTGCGCCGGCGGCGGCCCCGGCTGCTGCTTCTGATGCAGCTGCGAAGCCTGCATCTGCATCCCCTGCATCGGCATGTTCGACATGTGCGCGAACTGCTGCGGCTGCTGCTGCTGCGTCCACATGTGCTGCTGCAACTGCTGCTGATGCGGCTGCTGTGGCGGCAAAGCCTGCATCTGCTGCTGCGGCTGCTGAGGTTGCTGTGCCTGCTGCTGCGCCACTGGCGGCACTGCGCCAGAGCCCATGTCGTGTCCGGATCGTCCTGTCGCACTCCTCGCTGGCGCATTGCCGTCACTCCCTGCCTGGATGCTCTCCATTGTCTTCGGGTTAATCCACCATCACGCGCCGGGCAATTCAGGCGTGGTATAATGCCAAAATTCTGTCTGGTAGCGTTTACGTAACCCCTCTAGGCCACCTCCATTCGAACGACGCTTGGCGCATGGAGATTCCAGGTGGACCTCAGGGTCAAAGCGGGTTCAAATTTTCTTAATGCGGCTGCAACCTGCGAGCGACTTCGATGTCAGCGGCGAGAAAATCTGCAACGTGATGTGTTACGCACGTGTTTGCGACTTGCCGCCCACTCTGTGTACACTTGTTATAAATATTGTTTTTGTTTGTTTCCGCGTTTTGTTGGGGCATGACACTTATAGGATCCACGCACGTATGATTAACATGCGCCTACTGTTATCCAGTATGTACGCCAATGTCCTGTTTGGTGATGTGTAAGCGTTTTGTGTGGCTGACGTACGTGATACGCACACTGATGCCATTGGTGCGCGTTCGTGGTGATGTCATGCTTGCAAGTTTGTGGTGTGCCTCACACACGAATCTTAACGCTGTATCGTACTACTGTGAATGGCTGATGTGAAACAGTGGTGGATGATATGGTTGCCTGCGTGTATTGCTGTATTGGATGTGCGTGCAACTTTGGTCTGTCTTTCTGCAATAACATATAATCGCATGTCTTTGCTTTAGATAGCAAGTGCTGGAATGGATCAGGGTACGAATCATAATGTGCTTGATGTGTTGTAAACTGATGGCCCAACAAAGCGCACACATGCCATGTCCGATTGTCAGAGTTCGAAAAGACTACTGTGTCGCGCCGTGCCGTTGCGCGCGTGCTTCGGGACACTGCGAAACAGTGGCCGCGTTGCGCCGTGCCCCTGAAATGGCCTGACGCGGGCTCTAGCTCAGCGTGCTAAGCCGTGTCTGGGTCTGCAAGCGCAAGGAAAATGTAGTGCAATGCCGCGCCTGCGTTCCAAAACCCACAAGAATTCCCCAGTCGCGCCGCACGTAGATTTCATCATGCGGAAAATGCGGCGCCGTGCCATGCCTGAGTGACATCAGCATGCGGGGAACTGCCATGCCGTGTCGACCGTGTGGATGGACATGCAGAATGGGTGTTTGAGGTCACGATGCTGGCGCAGTGTCTGTACCATTTGAATACGTTACTCATGCGTGGACGATGCGCCTCCCTGACGCACGGCGTTGCTTTCAGCGCTCAGTGTTGTGATGTTGACCCATGCGCGGCACATCGTAATGCATACATGTTTTGACGCTGATGGTTGACGTATGCACGTGATGCATGATGTCGGCTTGCGCTCGTGAATTATATTCTGGCCGCGTGACCGTCGCACCTGGTCATGATGAGTACGAGAATGGATGGTACTGGTGCGCGCTAATTGCGGCGTGACTGAAATTATTACGCAGACCGAACAATTTCCTCTTGAACCCCGAATGTCGAAAGCGACGTGCTGTTTAGGTAAGCGGATACACGTCGCGCTCTCATCGGGTTTGGGCATGCCATATGTTATGAGAGGAGATGCGGGAGTTGGCCGGGCCCGCTGTGGCGTTCGAGCAACCTTATGTTATGGGAGGGTTTTCGGGAGATGGCCACGCTCCGTGTGGCGCTCGAACAACCACTATGGGAGAAGTGGAGGGAGGTGGCCCGGCCCGCTGTGGTGCTCGATCTTCCGAGCTTCACACTTTGCTCTCGTGTCCTCTTGCTCCCCATCATCCCTCCTCTTCCCACCTCCTCACTCATCCCCCAAACTCCTCCTCTCTCCTCTTACCTCCTTCCGCATCCCTCCTCCCCCCTCCTCCTCCTCCTCCCTTCTCTTCCTCCCCCCCAACCTCCTCCCTGATTGTTCCTCCTCTCTCTTCCCTCCTCCCGTCCCTTCTCCCCTCCTCCCCCGTCCTCGTGCCTCCTCCCTCCTCCTTCCTTTTCCGTCCTGGGAAGACCCCCCTCCCCCGTAGAAACATAGCTTTGGTCAGCAGATCCACAATTCAGTGAATAGCATGATGCTTCACGTGCAGTGCCCCGGGGATCCCATATCCCTGGGGTCCGGGATTAAAACTTCTACGTTATATGCATCCCCGGAAATAAAATAAAATGGATCCATTGGTTGTTCACGCACGCGGGAAATTGGATCCGCGCAAAACGCACATAGGATCCACCACACTGTCGCACACCCGAAAAAAAATCAAACTGGATCCATCGGTGTCCTCATACTCTTAATCCAAGAAGAAAACACTTTCGGCCTGGGGATGTATGGTGTTGCTACTGTGTTGAGTGGAAACGAAACAAAATCACGCCCCGCGCGAATTTCTTGGATCCGCGCTGGGCCCAGAGCGCGCCAGGGGCAGCGCCGGAGGCGCCGCCAGGGGGGACCCAGCGCGGATCCAAGAAATCCAAGCGGAGCGCGAAACAAATACGTTTGTGGCGTTCTTCTTCTGCTCTGAGTGTGCGCTCCAGGTGTGTACAAATGCTGCCACGTGTTGGGTTGGTGTGGCCGAGATGCGCTCTGCGAGCCTGCCCCTGGAGTACGAGACGGATGCAGGACGGCCAGCGAAAGGACTTCCAAGAAGACACCAAAAGGCCCCAAGGTGTCGACACGGGGGTCGCCATCTAAACTATGTATGTTCTTCGTCGGCGCCGAAGCAGAGGCAGTCCGCTCCAGCTTGTGGCTAATCGGGGCAAGCGAAATGCGGATTGTCCGGCGTGCAATCGGAAGGAAAGAAGACGAGACGAAACTAGAAGTATGGGGTCTTCTGTAAAAGGATACGGGGTGTGATGGTGGCGGGCGCACCGATATGTAAAGATATCCCTTCCCTGCGCATGCGCCGCCGAATCCAGTCGTGGCGACGCGAGCCTCCCGAAAAGCCCAGAAAAGAGGACAACAATTGCGGAAAAGTAGCGGTATCGGTGCATGGTCTCTCTCTCTCTCTTTCTCTCACCGCCTGGGCGGTGCCCGGTGCGCCGCCGCGCAGCATGCTTTGAGTGGGGACCGACCGTCCGGGCATTCCTATAGTGCTACCACGACATGTTCTTAGAACCCAAAAACGTTTAAGAACCAAAACGATGTTCTTAGAGCATAAGCCCGATGGGTTAGAACAAGGCAGTCCCAGCCAGAAATGTTCTGAGAACATGTCGTGGAAACCACACCAGGGTCTTAGAACATGGTTCGCTGGGACGATCGGCGAGCCGGGACGCTTCGCCACTGCTTGAGCACTGGCACAGCGGCGGAGCGTGCCCCAGGCAGCTGGCTGATCTTGAGAGCCTTGCTCCCGGGCGTTCGCGCCGCATTGCTGGGAGAGGAGGCCGGCGTGGCCTGCTTCTCGCGGGCGGCCTGCGGAGGCCCGGCGGCCATCTGCCCCCAGCTGGCCTGCTGGCCCGGGTCCGGCGCCGGCTCGATGGGCTGTGCCGCCTGCTGCTGCTGCTGCGGCACCATCGCCATCATCATCATCTGGTGCTGCTGCCCGACCATCTGGCCCTGCTGGCCGGCCTGCATCATGCCCGGCTGCATGTTGTGGGCCATCTGCATGCCCATGCCCCCCATGCTGGAGCTGTCGCCCTGGTCGGAGTACCCATACCCCGACTGGCTCGGCACGAAGCCCGCCATGGCCTGCTGGTCAAAGCCCGCCTGCGAATTCATGCCCACCTCACCTCCCTGCACATACTGGTTCGAGGGCACGGCCATGTAGTAGTACACTACTGGCTGCTGGTCGGAGGAGGGCCAATTGAGACAACGGCGGCTCTCCAACACGGTCCAACTCCGCTCAGAACGGTCCCCGGATCCTGTCCCGGCCAGGGTCCAGCCTGACCCGTTCTCCAACGCGGATCCCACGGCGGAGTCGAGACGCCCTCGGGGAGCAACGAGGTAACAAGCATTTCGCTCCGAGCGATCCGCACCCGAGAACGCGAGGCGGAATCCCCAAGGTGCACCGGCACACTCTGGGCCTGACGGCCACGAGAAATCAGGGTATGCGTGGCCGTTCAAAGGGCTTCGGCCCTAAGAAAACAGAGCTAGGATCGGGATAAATCGCTCCAGAGCGTTCCGGAGCGCTCTCAGAGCGTTCCGGAACGCTCTGGAGCGGCCGCGGCGCCCAATACATCCTCCAAGCCCGCCGATTCTCAGAGATTTCGAGTTATCCCGATCCGATTTTGTCCCGATCTTCGCGTCGTTTTACCTAACAGCCAGCAGCTCCCATCCCGTCGGGCGGGGCACCCGCCAAGAGAAGGGCCGCAGGTGTCCCGAGACTCGCCCTCCTCCGGTGCTGCCCCGCCTGCCCAGCGCCGGTGGCCATCGCCGCCACCGCCTCGAGGCCCCAACGTATATGACTACCTACCAGACCACCCCAACCCAACCTGAAGACCCGAATTTCGGGTTGGGGGGGTAAGGGTTCCACATGTGGTCTCTTCGACGTTTCCCGACCCCTCCCCACTGGAACTCGAGGGTAACCCTGAGCCTTCGGGTTGGGTTGGGGTGGTTTGGCGGGCGGTGAGTATATGAAGGGGCCCTGGGACACACAAATAAATACACACAAATAACAGGATTCCCCATATTATTTCCCATATTTTCGGGGCTTCTGTCTTCTCCCCCACTTCCCATATCTTCCCACATCTTCGGGGGAATCGCCGACGCCTCCTGAGTATGGGGAGGAGGAGGAGGAGGAGGAGGAGGAGGAGGAGGAGGAGAAGGAGGAGAGGAGGAGGAGGAGGAGGAGGAGGAGGAGGAGGGAGGAGGAGAGGAGGAGGAGGTAGGAGGAGGAGGAGGAGGATGAGGAGGCCTTCCGTTTTGTGTTTGTTTTCCCTCCCGAGTATGGCTGACTTGTACGGCGCCCGCCCCCCCGCGCGACGCTCGGCCGGCGCGGCAGCCTGGGCAGCTCTCGTGCCAAAACGGCTTCCCTCCTCCTCCTCCTCCTCCTCCTCCTCCTACCTTCCTCCTCCTCCTCCTCCTCCTCCTCCTCCTCCCTCCTCCTCCTCCTCCTCCTCCTCCTCCTCCTCCTCCTCCTCCTCCTCCTCCTCATCGCCTCC